GGATTACAGGCACGCGCCACCATGCCCAGCTAATTTTTTTTTTTTTTTTTGAGATGGAGTTTTGCTCGTTACCCAGGCTGGAGTGCAATGGCGCTATCTCGGCTCACCGCAACCTCTGCCTCCTGGGTTCAAGCAATTCTCCTGCCTCAGCCTCCCAAGTAGCTGGGACTACAGGCGCGCGCCACCATGCCCAGCTAATTTTTGTATTTTTAGTAGAGACAGGGTTTCACCTTGTTGACCAGGATGCCCTCGATCTCTTGACCTCGTGATCCACCCGCCTCCGCCTCCCAAAGTGCTATTTTTTTGTATTTTTAGTAGAGACGGGTTTCACCATGTTGAAATGGCCTCGATCTCTTGACCTCGTGATCCACCCACCTCGGCCTCCCAAAGTGCTGGGATTACAGGCTTGAGCCACCTCGCCCGTCCTGAATATGGACATTTTTAATGGCTGTTGATACACATTGAGATCAGGAGATACATTTTTTTACTCTGTGATTCAGAAGCACGTGTATTAGTTGTTTCACCTCTGAAACAAAGAGCACATTAAGATGGAACTTAAAATTAGATCCATATTCAGAAACATGTAAATTTTTCTGAAAGCAGAAAAGGTCTAAGTAGTTTTGGCTTTTTTTCTAAAGCAAATAAATGATAATGGCTTTTCAGTAGTGTTGTTTGGCTCAGGGCCAAAGGTGTAGGACCTTACTCTTTGATCTTGTGATTATATGTCTGAAATCTTCTATGAAGCTTATGCACTGGCTCAGCAGTTGTGTAATACACGTACAATGGAGATTTGACTTAAAGAGGAAAAAGGCAAATTTGAGATTTTTACAGTTGAGGCATATTTAAGGCAGTGTTTCTGTTAGCTTACTCTGATAAAAATTCATTTTTATTTTTTAAAAACTTAAAAGATAATTGAAGCATGTTTCTAAAACGTTATTGTGCAAAGTGTGAATTTTAAGGAATCCTATTTGTTACATTAAGCTTTAGGGAATTTCTTTTGTTAATTCTTTAACTAAAAGATAACTGTTGGTTGACAGTTAAGATACATTAATTTTTTGTGCAGACATACGTTAGAAAAAGACATGCGTTGTGAAACAGATTTTACTTGCGTGGAATTGCACACATGTAAATTCTAACAAATTTGCAGACATGCGTTGGAAAAAGACATGCGTTGTGAAACAGATTTTACTTGTGTGGAATTGCAGCTGAGTTTTAGTTCCACAGATGTGCTGTCTGCCTGATCTTAAATGGATTGCTTAATTTGTCTTTACAAATTTACAAACTTAGCTGACTCTATAGTAGATTGATAATTTAAGAGGGTATTATTACCTTTTCTAATCGTGTTATAATAGAAGTCCCTTTTTGTCTAGAGACGTGTATTTAGGATTGTCATGGATCCAAAATATTAAAATCTCTTTCATCCCCAAATATATTTGTCATTATAGTCCAGCAGAAATGGATTCCCATAAGCTTTAGTTCCAAATAAAGTAGCTAAAAGATTTTAAGTACCCTTCCTGGTTGTGAGAAGAAAGAAGTGATGATTTTCAGGAGAGGGAGGTGATGCTGCACTTATCTTGTATTCTCAAGAGTCTTAGTTGTACTCAGATTTTTGTAGCATACTTCTGGAGTCTTGTTGAATAGTTAGCATTGATACTATAGCTACAGTATCATGGCTGTTTTTTAGAGATTATATAGTGAGGGGTCAATGGTGGAAAGAATAAGTAAGAATAATTATAAAAGTCTAGAAAATTATGGCACAAATCTCCCCAGTGTATTTAAGTTTCAGTGTTCAATTAGTGTGACTTACTATTTTAGACTGGTAATTTTCTTCATAGCGTACTTTATGGATACACGTTAGGAGCTATTAAATTTAAATGGTCCTACTCCTTTGGCTGTAAACATGCTGTTGTATTTGGTGCAGAATTCTGTCAGTTATTAACAATCATTTGTTCCCTCACATTAAACAAACGTTTAGAATCTGTGATCTTTCTCTCTTCCTGGAGTCTAACTTTTCTGCTCTTTTACTTTCCTGTATATTCATCTTGATTTTTAGCCCCTTTGTATCAAAATTTGTTTCGTAAGAAGCAGGCTAAGTTGGCATACATTTCTTTGAGCCTGAATACTGAATATATGTAAAAGATGATCTGGGTTTCTTTTTTTCTTTTTTTTTTTTTTTTATTATTTTGAGACTGAGTCTCACTCTGTCGCCTAGGCTGGAGTGCAGTGGCACGATCCTAGGCTCACTGCAACCTTCGCCTTCTGGGCTCAAGCGATTCTCCTCCCTTGGCCTCCTAAGTAGCAGGAATTACAGGTGTGTGCCACCACACCTGGCTAATTTCTGTATTTTTAGAGGTTTCACCATGTTGAAACCAGGCTGACCAGGCTGATCTTGAACTCCTGACCTCAGGTGATCTTCCTGCCTCAGCCTCCCAAAGTGCTGGGATTACAGGTGTGAGCCACTGTGCCCAGCCAATATCTGGGTTTCTTAAACCAATTTTAGTTATCCAATATCTGAATGTTTTGCCCATTCCTTACATATAGAAACCTTATTATCCATACCCAGCACTAAATCTATCCAATCATTAGACTCCTTGAAGATGCTTATAACACCAGAGAAAATAACATTGCCATTTTCTGCCTTTCTTACTTATTTTTCTGAATCCTTCTCTTCTGTGTAGACTATCCATATCCAAGAACTAAACTTTCTAAGTAAAGGTGGAAATGTAATTTTTTCCCCCTTCTCTCCTCCATATGAATGTTGATTAGAGCTACACTGATCAGAAATATCTTATTGTTCTCAGGGGTGAAATTAAGTCGGCCTACATATCTGTTTGGTTTTTTTTTTTCTCTTTGCACCTTCTGGCATACATATCTGTTTTTTAAGATGTTTACAGAATAGCCAGTGTAAGCGGGGCATACCTAATTTTTTTTTTTTTTTGAGATGGTGTCTTGCTCTGTTGCCCAGGCCAGTAGAGCACAGTGTGTGATCTTGGCTCACTGCAACCTCCACCTCCTGGGTTCAAGTGATTCTCCTGCCTCAGCCTCCTGAGTAGCTGGGACTACAGGTGTGTGCCACCACGCCTGGCTCAGTTTTTGTATTTTTAGTAGAGATGGGGTTTCACTCTGTTAGATGGTCTCGATCTCCTGACCTCACGGTCCACCCACGTTAGCCTCCCAAACTGCTGGGATTACAGGAGTTAGCGCTGACCATATTAACTATAAAGTTAACTATATATTAACTATAAAGTTAATAGTCATTGAAATTTTCTTTCTTGGAATTTGGTGAATGGATGTTTAAAGAACCAGCCTTTCCCATGATGGTATTAATATTGACAACAAAAAATTATTGAATTATGAACTTTAAAAATAAAAATTAGAAGGAAATAGAGATACGGGTGCTTGGTTTTTATTTTGTTTACTAATCTCATAAAGTTATTGGAAATGCGATTGATGCTCTTGAGTTAAAATCTTTTTTCTTTTTTTTTTTTTTTGTGTGTGTGATAAGGTCTCACTCTATTGCCTGGGCTGGAGTGCAGTGGCATGATCATGACTCGCTACAGCCCTCAACTCGTGGGCTCAAGCTGTCCTCTTGCCTTTGCCTTCCAAGTGAGCTGAAACCTTTTAACTTTCTGGCTGGCAACAAAGGCCCAAGGATAACAGAACAAGATTAATTAGATTTGAATAGTGTTTTATAGGTTATGTAATCACTTTGCTTACATCATGGTTTTACTTACTGTTATTCTGAATTTTTTGTTTGTTTTTTTGAAACAAGGTCTCACTCTGTCACCCAGGCTGGAGTGCAGTGGTGTGATACTGGCTTATTGCAACCTCTACCTCCCAGGCTCAAGCATCCTCCCACTTCAGCCTCCCACGTAGTTGGGATTACAGGCCATGCACCACCACACCTGGCTAATTTTTATATTCTTTAGCATCAGGGTTTTGCCACGTTGCCTGGGCTGGTCTTAAACTCCTGGGCTCAAATGATCCTCCCGACTCCGACTCGGCCTCCCAGAGTGCTAGGAGTACAGGCATGAGCCATTACACCCAGCCTGAATGTTTTCATTTTACCTTTGTAACCATTCTATGAAGGATATGTGTTATTTAAATATGTATTCATCAGGAAGTCTAGAATATTTTATGTGTGTGTGCCTGTGTGTGTGTGTGTCTGTGTGTTTAAATATGTGTTTACAACAAGAAAACTTTTAGTTTCATGTGATGTACATAAAACCTCAAGTCTGACAGATTACTGTACATCAAGGGTTGACAACCCAAGGATTATGTGATGTCCTGGAATAGGAGATGATTTTGAGTATCAGTGTTGGATTACTTACTAGGAAAAATGTGAGGTAGATAAAGGTTATCTCCGCTGTCCTTTCACCACTTCTCTTTTCCTATCTAACTCCTACATGTTTCTCTCTTACAGCTGCTAAAGCATTTGCCAATAATATTTAAGTGCCATTCTTTTCACATTCTTATTTTTTAAAAAGATCTTTAAGATACTCATTGAGATTAGCAGAGGGGCTGAGAGCCATTTTTAGATACTGGTGCCTAAGCTGTAGAGAGAGGTGTCTTGAGGAGAGGAGAAAGTTGTCCCATCACTTCCCTTCCTTTTGCTCATTGATCACCTGGAACAGATAGTTCCTGAGGGTGTTATTGACAGTGCTTCTATAGCTGGGAGCCAAATAGCAACTTAGGGGTCAATTGCCATTTTTTCCCTATTATCATTGAGAGAACAAATAAATGTAGAGCTCACCCAAGATCCTTGGTATAATTAGAACCTTAAAAATAGAAGACATACTAATCATTTTATAGAAATAAATGCAAAAGGAAAATCTCACAGTATGCATATGTTTATTATAAAAGTTGTCGGTGTTTGCAGTCACTTTTTAGAATAGAGTTTTGATCTCTGGTTTTCCAAAATAAGAGTGACTTCGTTAATGACACTACTGCTTGAAAAAAAGTGTTTTAAAAATTTTTTGTTTTCTCTTTGTCTTAACTAGATGTGATGCTGATCCTTCAGCCTTAGCCAACTATGTTGTAGCACTGGTCAAGAAGGACAAACCTGAGAAAGAATTAAAAGCCTTTTGTGCTGATCAACTTGATGTCTTTTTACAAAAAGGTAATTATTATGGGCCTTCAATCAAGTAATGAATTAAAGATTTAAAATTTAAAACTTCCTGAAAAGTCTTGGAGTTATAAGCTTGATAGGAAAGAAAGTGGTCAGAGTCCTTTGAATACTTGAATATACCCATTCATACTTAATTATTTATCATGTTTTGTTAGAACTGGTTTTATCCCTTTCCTTCTTTGCTGCTTTCCTGTTTTGAAGCAATGGCAGCTCTAATGCTTTTTAGGTGATTAGGTCTTTTGCAGCTTTTGACAGGGCCTACTTGATGATTGACGTATAACAATTTAAGGATAATGAAGCTGCTTATTCTTGCTGTTCATTAAGATGATGAACTCATCAGTTTTTCCCCCCTTGGGTGGGGCTTCTTAATATCCAAGAAGAGACTTGCATGATCCTCTTCTCTTTGCGCCTTTAACTTTTCATCTTCTTACCAAGTCCCTTTCCATGGTCTACAGAGCTTTCTCAGGGTTTCCCCTGTTGCCTCTCCGACCTTATCTCCTATTATTCCCCCTCATTTGTTCCACTCTAGCCACACTGACTACCTGTTTTTTGAATTATGGCAAACATGGTCCCAACTCAGGCCCTCTGAACTTGATTTACCCTTGCCTGAAACATGGATTCTTTTCTCGCTTCTTTCTGGTCTCTTCAAATGTCACCTTCTCAGAGCAGTTTCCCCTGAGTGCCCTATATATGGTATAGTATGCTCCATGCCTCCATCCACTCTCCTCCTTCCAACCCTGCTTTGTTTTATTACTTTTTAATTTATTTTATTGTATTCTTTTTTAGTTTGTTGGTTTTTATGTCTAATGTATTTTTATTTTTGTAGAGATGGGGGTCTCATTTTGTTGCCATGCTGGCCCTTGAACTTGCCTCAAGCAGCTGCCCCACCTTGGCATCCCAAAGTGCTGGGATTACAAGACCTGACTCCTGTTTGTTGTTTTCATGGCCTTGTCACCACCTGTCATAGGTTTATTTGCCTGTTTATCTGTCTCTCTACCCTTTGTTTGCCTTTCGTTTGGTTGAGAGTGGAGACTTGGAATCTGTAGCACTTGGTAGATGGAAGATGTTCAGTAAATATTGTTGAATGGAGGGATAGGAATGTGAATAATACACATTTATCAGTTGATTTAGCTATTGGTGATGAGAAGATATCATTTAAATTAAATATTTACTGAGAATGAGAAAAGTGTGTCTTCTCTATCTAAAACATAGGATTACATATTTTTTCATGCATTTTACAGCTTTTTTGTAGAAACAAAACAATACTGACAGAATTTCTTCCCAGTATAACTACTTAAAGAATTCCTCACCAGTACAGATATTTTCTTTTGTAAATGTGTTAATTTACATTATTTAATTTACGTTAAAGATGAGTCTTGTGAAATGTAGAGCAATGGAAAAAGAGAAAGCAAAACATAGTAAAGATATTTGGGGTAAGAGACAAATGAATGTTTGTATGTCTAAGAACTCTTTGTTATAAAAAGTTAGAAAGGATTTTAGTAATTTAAAAAAATTGCATAAATAATTTATATGAGAAGAAACTATACACTACATTTTTAAAAGGATAAGAAGATAAGCAACCATAAATTTGCCACCAGAGATAAAATCACTTTTATCCGCTTATGTGTGCTTTCTAGACTAGTACTATCCAGTAGAACTTTGTGCATATGGTCTATATGTTTCCTTTTCCATTTTAGTAGCCATTAGCCACATGTGGTTATTGAGCACTTGATATGTGGTTAATAGGCCAGAGAAATTGATTTTTTTTTTTTTTTTGAGACAAAGTTTGCTCTTGTTGCCCAGGCTGCAGTACAGTGGTGTAATCTCGGCTCACTATATATAACCTCTACCTCCTGGGTTCAGGTGATTCTCCTGCCTCAGCCTCCTGAGCAGCTAGAATTATAGGCACTTGCCACCATACCTGGATAATTTTTGTATTTTTAGTAGACAGTGTTTCACCATGTTGGCCAGGCTGGTCTTGAACTCCTGGTCTCAAGTGATTCACCTGCATTGACCTCCCAAAGTGTAGGGATTACAGGTGTGAGCCACTGCACCCGGCCAGAAATTAATTTTTTTTTTTTTTTTTTTTGAGACACAGTCCTGCTCTGTCACCCAGTTGGAGAGCAGTGGCACAATCTCAGCTCACTACAACCTCCACCTCCCAGGTTCAAGCGATTCTTCTGCCTCAGCCTCCCGAGTAGCCTCCTGGGACTACAGGCGTGTGACACCAGGCCCAGCTAATTTTTGTATTTTTAGTAGAGACAGGGTTTTACCATGTTGGCCAGGATGGTCTCTATCTCTTGATCTTGTGATCCGCCCACTTTGGCCTCCCAGAGTACTGGGATTACAGGAGTGAGCCACCGTGCCTGGCCTGAAATTGAGTTTTAAACTTATTTTTATTAATTTAAACTCAAATTTAAGGAGCTACATGTAGCGAGTGGCTACTACATTGGACAGTGCAACTATAGACTTATGTCTGTGTTTATATTGCATCTTAAAATAGTATTAAGTGAACATACTCTTTTATAATGATATATAATATTTTAAAAATTTAGTAGTGTGCCTTGAATATCACTTTTGTTTTTATTTATTTTTTATTTTTTCCAAACTCTCTGGTTTCCCAGAAAATATTGTTTAATAGTAGATGTTTATCTTTGCTTTTTAAAAATTGAGCTATGTGTGTTTCAGATTACAAAAGGTAATAACATGTTATAAATTGTTTTAAAAAATAGTTATAAGTAGAAAGTATTCTGTTTGTAGAGGCTTTTGAAGGTCTGATTATTATCTTAAGTTTATAATAGTTAATGAGAGCTAACAGTTTTATAATATGGAAAAATGCTTACTACACAAATTAGTAGTGTAAAGAAATTTATAAGAAGATGCTTTTCTGTAGAAAAGATAACGATGTTTTAGAAATTGCTTCTGTATAAAAGATAGTAATTGCAATGTAAGCAGAGTTTGTGTCATACTTTTAATATGCTCTTTAGCTGTTCCTTAGGATAGGACCAATGAAAGTTGTTTATATTTGGTTGTAGTGAGACATGGGCTGGACATGGTGGCTCATACCTGTAATCCCAGCATTTTGGGAGGCTGAGGCAGGCAGATCACCTGAGGTCAGAAGTTCGAGACCAGCCTGGCCAACATGGTGAAACCCTTTCTCTGCTAAAAATACAAACATTAGCTGGGCACGGTAGCGCATGCCTGTAATCCCACCTGCTCAGGAGGCTGAGGGAGGAGAGTCACTTGAACCCAGGAGGCACAGAAGTTGTAGTGAGCCGAGATTGCGCCACTGTACTCCAGCCTGGGCAACAGAGCAAGACTGTGTTTCAAAAAAAAAAAAAAAGGCAGTATAAATATTTGATATTAGTACTTTCAGTAAATGCATCTGGTTTTCCCATTCAGTTGTCTGAGAAAGTTTGAAACAGAGCACCCTTTAAGTAAAACACAAAAAATTAGTTTCATATCATTCTCATATCAATAAACATTTCAACTGATAAAAAATACAGTTAAGTTTTTTGAGTAGGCAGTGCCTTTAATCCAACAATATAAAGGTATGTCATGAAAGTTTCTTAACTGTTTTACATCCACTTCCTTCCCACCTACAGTACACAATTTTGTCAGTTTTTATTTCCTTTCAGTTTTTTTATGCAGCTAGATAGAAACATACAAATATATACTCTTATATCTTTGAGATTAGGTATTATCAGTATTCTTTCTTTTTACAGCTCCTGTGTATTCTATTGTATAGATGTCCCATAGTTTATTTAACTGGTCTCTTGTTCATGGAAATTTGAGTTGTTTTCGATCTTTTGCTATTACATACTCCAACAAATAATCTTACATATATATCATTTTGCAAGTAGGTCAGAAGGATTAAAAACCTGGAAGTGTGCTTCTCTTCCATAAGGTAGGACTCATTTTTAGTCCTACCAGCAGTGTACAAGATGTCCTATTTTCCTAAGCTTTGCTAACAATGTGTTATCAAGTTTTTGTTTTTGTTTGCGCAACATGTAAATGTTCTTTCTTCTCCTTAGAAACTTCAGGTTTTGTGGACAAACTATTTGAAAGTCTCTATACTAAGAACTACCTTCCACCTTTGGAACCAGTTAAGTCTGAGCCAAAACCACTAGTTCAAGAAAAAGAAGAAATTAAAGAAGAGGTAATGCAAAATTTTTCTCTTGCTTGTGGGGCCTCTGAGATCCTGTCACCAGTATCCTTAGATGGAAGTTGAACCTTTTAAAAGTAATTGTTGATTAAAGTTTCTGGATTTTAGGCATCATACAGATTCTTTATCAGGATTTCATAGTTCTTTTGGATTGAAGAGTTGGAGAAGTTTCAGATAGCTTATTTAGAGACCCAAGAAATATTTTAGCACCATTGAGGAAGTCAGAGAACTCTTATCTAGTGACTTTTAGAAAAAGAAAACTTGGTTAAAGATAGAGGATTGACTGAAAGTAAACTATTAACAAAACCTCAAGGGAAGTCATTAGGTTACACATTTTCATGTATATAGAGAAACCAGTTACACTTTTGGTTATATAGAATTTTTTTGAGACGGAATTTCGCTCTTGTTGCCCAGGCTGGAGTGCAGTGGCGTGATCTCGGCTCACCGCAACCTCCGCCTCCTGGGTTCAGGCAATTCTCCTGCCTCAGCCTCCCGAGTAGCTGGGACTACAGGCATGCGCCACCATGCCCAGCTAATTTTTTGTATTTTTAGTAGAGACAGGGTTCCACCATGTTGACCAGGATGTTCTCGATCTCTTGACCTCATGATCCACCCGCCTCAGCCTCCCAAAGTGCTGGGATTACAGGTGTGAGCCACTGTGCCCGGCCATAGAATTTTAAAAAATAGTTAATGTAATTGTGAACATCACTGTTAACATTGGAAAGAGAGTTTTTTTTTTTTTTGAGACAGAGTCTCACTGTGTTGCCCAGGCTGGAGTGCAGTGGCCTGATCTCAGCTTGCTGCAACTTCCACCTCCCAGATTCAAGCCATTCTCCTGTCTCAGCCTCCCAAATAGCTGGGATTACAGGTGTCCCCCTCCACGCTTGGCTAATTTTTGTAGTTGTAGTAGAGACTGGGTTTCACTATGTTGGCCAGGCTGGTCTTGAAATCCTGATCTCGTGATCCACCCTCCTTGGCCTCCCAAAGGGCTGGGATTACAGGCTTGAGCCACCGCACCTGGCCTAATAATATTGAAGTTTAAAAGCATGGTTATAAGTGGTAACCTAATTGTTTGAGCCAAGAAGGAAATTTTACAGAGTTCACTTGTATTTCCTTTTACATGCAGACAATATAGTATATAAGAATTTGGATTCTGTAATCAGGTTGCATGAGTTAAAATAGCAGCTCTACAAGTTAACTTCTCTGTCTGTCCGGACGTGGTGGCTCACGCCTGTAATCCCAGCACTTTGGGAGGCCGAGGCGGGTGGATCACGAGGTCAAGAGATGGAGACCATCCTGGTCAACAAGGTGAAACCCCGTCTCTACTAAAAATATAAAAAATTAGCTGGGCATGGTGGTGTGCGCCTGTAATCCCAGCTACTCGGGAGGCCGAGGCAGGAGAATTGCTTGAACTCAGGAGGCAGAAGTTGCGGTGAGCCGAGATTGCGCCATTGCACTCCAGCTTGGGTAACAACAGCGAAACTCCATCTCAAAAAAAAAAAAACTCTGTCTCACTTTGATGTCAGTAAAATGTCTCACTTTGATGTCAGTAAAATGAGGATCACAGTAGTACTCATTGAGGATTAAGTGAGATTATGTACATATATACGTAATTTCTTTTTTTAAATTTTATATATGTATATACATTTTCGTATAAATTTTATATATATATGTAATTTCTAGTCCATTGCCTGCTATATAAATTTCAGTTATGCAGAATATTTTCCAATATTTATTTTTATTACATTTATTCTGAAGGTAAAGTGAAATTTTAATGTAGAATTTTAAACTTAAATAAAAATTACAAGAGGCTGGGCGAGGTGGCTCATGCCTATAATCTCAGCACTTTGGGAGGCCAAGGCGAGCAGCTCTCCTGAGGTCAGAAGTTCGAGGTCAGCCAGGCCAACATGGGAAACCCTATCTACTAAAAATACAAAAAGTTAGCCAGGCTTGGTGGCAGGCGCCTGTAATCCCAGATACTTGGGAGACTGAGGCAGGAGAATCACTTGAACCTGAGAGGCGGAGGTTGCCGTGAGCTGACATTGTGCTATTGTACTCCAGCCTGGGCAACAAAAGCAAAACTCTGTCTCTGAAAAAATAAATTTGCAAGAATAGTACACCAAACACCCATATAACATCTATCTAGATAAATTTTTTTTTGGTAGAGATGGAGTCTCTGTCTGTCGCTCAAGTTGGTCTTGAACTCCCACCTCTGCCTCCCAAAGCTCTGTCTGGGGTTATAGATGTTCTAGATATACTGATTGAAAATTTGCCCCATCTGCTCTCTTTAAATATCCACATGATTTTTTTTCTCAGTGATTTGGATAGTAAGTCACATACTTCATGTCTCTTCACCCCTCAGTGCTTCAGTGTGTATTTCCTAAGAATAAAGATATTCTGTTAGGTAACTATGATACTGTGATCAAGTTCAGTGAATTTAACATCCATATAGTACTTTAATGTATTGTCTGTATCCAGTTTTATCAATTGACCAAGCAATGTCCCTTTTAAATTTTTTCTATTTATTTATTTATTTATTTTCTTATACCTTTTCTTATCCAGATTTTACAACCATATTTTTCTTTTTAAAAACTTTTTTTTTTAAAGACACAGGGTCTCACTGAGTTGCCCAGGCTTGTCTGGAACGCCTGAGCTAAAGCGATCTTCCTACCGTGGCCTCCCAAAGTGCTGGGAGTACAGACATGAACCACTATTTCCCAAGTGTTTCTTTTTTATAGAATATTCTTTTCCTCTCCATTTTCAGGGTTGGTTCTAAGGATTAGCTATCGTATAGTTATTCTTTCTGATTCATTACTAAGTGCTAGACTGATTGACCTGATCTAACATTAAAAGAAAAAAATGCTATATTTAATTAAGGTAAACTGAGACTGCTGTCCCTTTTTTTGTTTTTATATCTTGCCCTGTAATTCTCTCATCAAGTTCTCTAAAAATTGGAGAGGCTTGTTGTGTGTATCTTTAAGTAATAGAAATAGGAGGAAACCTTTTTTTTTTTTTTTTTTTTTTTAAGATGGAGTCTCATTCTGTCTCCCAGGTTGGAGTGCGTGGAGCAGTGTCACTGCAACCTCCACCTTCTAGGTTCAGGCAGTTATCCTGCTTCAGACTCCTGGGTGGCTGGGATTATAGCTTTGTCATCATGCCTGCCTAATTTTTGTATTTTTTTTTTTTTTTTTTAGTAGAGATGGGGTTTCACCATGTTGGCCAGGCTGGTCTTGAACTTCGACCTTAAGTGATATGCTTGCCTTGGCCTCCCAAAGTGGTGGGTTTATAGGCATGAGACACCATGCTAGGGCTGGAAGAAACTTTTCTTTTCTTTTTTTCTTTTACCAGGAGAAGCTAGTTTTTCGGGGTCATGGAAGAAAGTTTTCTTGAGTACTTTCATAGAAATTGTTCTTTGGTACTTTATAATTTTTGGTCTGTGGTATGGATTACATCTTTTGTCAGTTAAAATTTTTCGTGACGTGTCTGGTATAGTCATTGAAGTTCAGTGATTTAGAGGTATCTGTTTGAGAGGCAGCTGATTTGAATATAAGAGAAAGTTTGCGTTAAGTTTATTATTATTATGTTTTTTTGAGATGGAGTTTCATTCTCATTGCCCAGGCTGGAGTGCAGTGGCTCACTGCAACCTCAGCCTTGTGGGTTGAAGCGATTCTCCTGCCTCAGCCTCCCAAGTAGCTGGAATTACAGGTGCTCGCCACCACTCCTGGCTAATTTTTTTGTATTTTTAGTAGAGATGGAGTTTCACCATGTTAATGAGGCTGATCTTGAACCCCTGACCTCAGGTGATCCGCCCCCAATGGCCTCCCAAAGTGCTGGGATTACAGGCGTGAGCCACTGCGCTTACCTCAGGTGATCCGCCTGCCTCGGCCTCCCAAAGTGCTGGTATTATAGACATGAGCCACCAGGCCTGACCTATCTTGAGTTTTGAAAGACCAGTTTTTAAAAAATAAAACTCTTATACTATTTTATTTGTATCTTTTTAGCTGCAGTTTTGAGAATTGTGAAAAATGGATAATACCAGTTTCTGTGTAGAGCTACCCCAACTGACAACTTTCTTGCGTTTCTAATTTTCTAAGTTTTATACATAACTTAACTGTAATTATTGAAATAAATTATAGTTCATTTAATAGTGCATAACATAATAGTTTATAGTATTTCTCTTCGAGAATAGAAGGGAGTCTCAGGTGGCATATCTTTGGCTAATTGTCTTTTTCTGATCTGTGCTTAGTTGATAACAGTTGCTCTGAACAAGGTATAGAGAAGCAAATCTAGGGACTGCCCATTTTAACTTTCTTCCTTGATCTTTATAGCTACATTGGGTTCCATTAGTGGTTTTCTAATTAGAGTATTGATCACAAGGGTAAGAGAATTTGGATCATTGGCCCCAACTCAGTGCTGGGATTACAGGCTTGAGCCACTGTGCCCGGCCACCACTTACATTCTTAACCAATGTGTTAGGAGAGCACCCTGTCATCTTCTGGTAGATGTGTGCAGGGTCACCCTGTCTTCTGTACCTCCTGGGAGAGGGGCTGCTGCTGTCTGGTGCCCTGTTTGGTAGGTAATGCGTTCAGGAGTCCGCGCCAGGCACAGCTGGGGCCTTGAAACGCTTTGTCGTGCTTCTTCAGTACCATGGATTTGAAATGAACTCATCCTGGGTGTGAGCATCCAGGATCCCTTGAAAAGTTTATCTATGACTTTGAAACTGGCAACGTCACCCCAGAATTACAGTCAGCCTTATTCCCCTTCACCTCCCAGTGAACGCTAAGAAGTTTCAGAACAAGCAGAGAGCTCTATTTTTAGAAGAAATGTGTTACATTCAGAAATGATGAAACCAAATCTTATATTAAAAGGCAAAGATGATGGAGAAAAAAAAAAAAAAAAAGAAACAACTGAAGAAACAACTTGGTAGATGTGTGCCATGATTTATGAAGCATACTACCTTCATTCCTCTTTTCTTTACCTCATCTTTTTCCTTAAATTTTATTTTATGAAGACATTCAATCATTTGTCCCATAGAGTTTTTTACTGTCTGGATTTTGCTGTTTGCATCCCAGTGGAGTAATATATCCTCCGTATTTCCTGTGAATTAGGAGAGAGAATGATTTTTAAGTATAGTCTAATGACTGTGTAGTGATTTTGCTGCCATATGGTTGCCATATTGTAGCTGCCATTTTATGTTGCCTGAATTTTATTAAATTATCTCCTAGTTCATTCACTCACTTCCTGATTTGTGTATTTGTCAGTGAGCTTTTTCATTGATGAGTATTTTTTTAGCTCTTGCAAATGACTTTATTTCACCTTTCTCTACTCAAGACTATATATTCAGTTTGAGGTAAAGTTGTTCAAAGACAGTAATAAAAATCTCTGGTTCTCAGGAGGCAGAGGCTGTAGTGAGCTGAGTTGGTGCCAATTACTTAGTTTTATAGCATTCATTAATTTAACCATTTTTTTTCTAAAACTTTTTCTGTGAAATAAATGTAAAGTGCTCCTCAAATGAATTATATATGTATATGTATTTCATGAGGAAAACATAATCATTTTACTATATGATACTTAGAGATTTCCTATTTTAATTTGAAAAATGTATTGTTTGTACTTTTCTTACACTACCATTCCCTACTTAAATTAACATTAAAATACCAACATATTAAGGCTGGGCACGGTGGCTCACACCTGTAATCCTAGCACTTTGGGAGGCCAAGGCAGGTGGATCACCTCAAGTCAGGAGTTCAAGACCAGACTGACCAACATTGGTGAAACCCTGTCTCTACTAAAAATACAAAAATTAGTTGGGCGTGGTGGCGGTCACCTGTAATCCCAGCTACTTGGGAGGCTGAGGTTGCAGTGAGCCAAGATTGTGCCACTGCACTCTAGCCTGGGTGACATAGTGAGACTCTGCCTCCAAAAGAAAAAAAAATACTGCTTGTTCAAGTAATGTGAGCATCTTTTTAATTTCTGCTGTTGCCTAACTCTTTTGGATGTGATTTGACTTTAGTTTTTCAGTGCATTTACTTGTGCCTTTTCTTGTGCCAGAAATATTATCAGGTAGATGATGTTTCATAATTTATAGAGATACCTTTTTTTTTTTTTGAGACAGAGTCTTGCTCTGTCATTCCGCTGAAGTGTAGTGGCACCATCTCGGCTCACTGCAACCTCCACAACCCACGTTCAGGTGATTCTCCTGCCTCAGCCTCCCAAGTAGCTGGTACTACAGGCACGTGCCACCATGCCCAGCTAATTTTTGTATTTTTAGTAGAGAGGGGGTTTCACCATGTTGGCCAGGCTGGTGTCGAACTCCTGACCTCAAGTGATCTGCCCACCTTGGCCAACCGAAGTGTTGGTATTATAGGTGTGAGCCACTGTGCCCGGCCAAGAGGGATCATTCTCATTTCTTTTTTTGTTTTTTTTTTGAGAAGGGCCTCACTCCCTCACCCAGCCTATGGTATGATGGTGTGATCATGGCTCTATGCAGCCTTGAACTCCTAGGTTCAAGCAGCCTTCCCTTACTGGCCTCCTGAGTAGCTAGAACTGCAAGTGCATGCCACCATGCCCAGCTATCTTGTATTATTTATTCTTTTTAGTAGAGACGGAGTCTTGATGTGTTTCTCAGGCTGGTCTCAATCTCCTGGCCTCAAGCAGTCTTCCTACCTGGACCTCCTAAAGTGTTGGGATTACAGGCATGAGCCCCCATGTCTGGCCCTGCTTTTATTTCTAATCAATATTTTCGTATAGGTATTTCAGGAGCCAGCAGAGGAAGAACGAGATGGCAGAAAAAAGAAATATCCTAGTCCCCAGAAGACTCGTTCAGAATCTAGTGAACGAAGGTTCGTGTTTATCTTTAGTGAGGAAGACATTGATAACTCACTTTTTAGTTGCCTTGCAAGGGCATTAAAGGGATTTTTTAACATATATACTAACTCCTCTCTGTAAACTCATTAAAAAAAGTGGATGTTACTTTTCTTTCTTTCATTCTTTCTGTTTTTTGTCTTTGTCTTATTTTCTCTTCCTTCTATAAACAGTCATTGTATGTGTTTTCCCCAAGAGCTCAGGGGTGGGAGCAGTCCCCTTAGAGAATATTAATGAAATGTTCCATTTGGTTAGGGGTGCTCAGTATTAAAATCATCCATGTCATTTTTTATGACAGGTAGTACAACTTGTATATTGAATAATCAGTCTAACATAAAAAAATTGGTCTTTGTTTAGGAACACTTTGTTTTGAGCCTTTTTTCTTTTTTAGTTCAAAATTTCTGTTTTCCCCTGCCCACCCCTCTCCATACTTTGGATTCACCTCTTTTTTTCATTCTCCCCACCCAGTATAATTGCAAAAGGGATGTTTTTTTCCTCTCTGTATATATTAGAGGAATTATGTGGTAGTTTTGCAGCTTTATAAAAAAGCATAGATATTACACATTTGGATAACACAAGGATAGTATTTTATGCAATAGATTTGTTTGCAGACTTGGTTTCTATAGCCTGTATATGGCTTTTATATCTGTATATTATAGGACACGTGAGAAAAAAAGAGAAGACGGGAAGTGGAGAGACTATGACCGGTACTATGAGCGGAATGAATTGTACCGTGAGAAGTATGACTGGAGAAGAGGTAGGAGTAAGAGTCGGAGTAAGAGCCGAGGCCTGAGTCGTAGTAGAAGCCGAAGTAGGGGGCGCAGCAAAGACCGGGATCCAAATAGGAATGTTGGTGAGTAGATGAATGTCTCCCTAAAAACTCTATAGTTGCTTATCTGTCTCTATCACAAGGGTACAAGAAATTAGCTTAAAGATTGATGTACCTTTAATATGTCTAAGCAGTGTAAAAACTGAAATTGTCTCAAGAAACTCAATATTCATTTTGTTAGAAAACAGGGCTCTATTCTCGGGATGGAGTCAAGGGAGTTTGATTAAAAAGGAGCTATTCATAAGTGTATCATTGTACATGTCTAGACTTAACTCATTTTATATAATTGATACAAATATTCTTTAATCATTAAACCTATCACTTGAGGAAGAAGGTTGTTTTTGCTTTTTGGTTTGGTTTTCTAAAAGTAATTGATTTGCTATAAGGGTGCTTGAAGTTTATAAAATTAAAAAGAAAAAATAAGTGGATTGCTGGGATCTCAACCACTCATTTCCTGGGATACAAGTTTTGAAGTCAGTTCATAGGTAACCTTCTTATTAAATATCGGTGGAGAAACTGACTCTTTTTCATTAAGTGTAACTGATGTTGATACTATAAAAGATGATTTTGCACAAGTTCTTGCCCAAGATATGTTACATTGTTGATGTTCCTGCTTTTAGTATATATTAATAAAGAGCAGTGTGAAATAGGGATAGCTTGACAAGTTTAATTCAACATTCTCATCTTTTCTGTTCTATGTGAGAAAAAATAAACATTAAGAATAAGAAATATCTGTTCTCTTTGTTTTCTGTTTTAATTTTGTCTCCAAACAGAGCACAGGGAAAGATCGAAGTTTAAGAGTGAAAGGAACGACTTGGAGAGTTCCTACGTGCCTGTGTCTGCACCGCCTCCAAACTCTTCTGAGCAGTATTCCTCTGGGGCACAGTCTATTCCCAGCACTGTTACTGTGATCGCACCTGCTCACCACTCTGAAAACACAACTGAGAGTTGGTCTAATTACTATAACAATCATAGCTCTTCCAATTCTTTTGGTCGAAACCTACCACCAAAGAGGCGATGCAGAGATTATGATGGTAAAAATCTCCACCTTTTCTCATATTGTGCCCAAAAGTACTAGTAAAGCAAATGTTGCATATATTGCATATATTTTAGTTATAGTCCAATTTTTTTTTTTTTTTTTAAAGACAGAGCCTTGCTCTGTCGCCCAGGATGGAGTGCAGTGGTGCGGTCTTGGCTCACTGCAACCTCCACCTCCTGGGTTCAGGTGATTCTCCTGCCTCAGCCTCCCAAGTAGCTGGGATTATGGGTGCGTGCCACCATGCCTGGCTAACTTGTGATTTTGGTAGAGATGGGGTTTTGCCATTTTGGTCAGGCTGGTCTCAAACTCCTGACCTCAGGTGATATGCCCGCCTCGGCCTCCCAAAGTGCTGGGATTACAGGCATGAGTCACCACGCCCGGCCACACTGTATACTATAGTATATCATAAAATTTCATAGATACTAGTAATTATATAATTTTTTTTTTGGAAACCATCTCACCCTGTCCCCCAGGCTAGTGTGCAGTGGCACTATCTTGGCTCACTGCAGCCTCTGCCTCCAAGTTTCAAGCAATTTTCCTGCCTCAGCCTCCTTAGTAGCTGGAATTACAGGTGTGAGCCACCACGCCCAGCTAAGTTTTGTATTTTTAGTAAGAGACAGGGTTTCGCTATGTTGGTCAGGCTTGTCTTGAACTCCTGACTTCAGGTGATCCACCCACCTCAGCGTCCCAAAGTGCTGGGATTGTAGGTGTGAGCCACCATGCCTGGCCAGGAATTATTATTTAAAACCCTGCCCCGCCCCCTGGAATTGTTATTTTTATTTATTTATTTATTTATTTTGAGATGGAGTCTCGCACCGTTGCCTGGGCTGGTGTGCAGTGGCATGATCTTGGCTTGCTGCAACCTCTGCCTTCCAGGTTGAAGTGAGTCTCCTGCCTCAGCCACCCGAGTAGCTAGGATTACAGGTGCCTGCTACCACACCCAGCTAATTTTTGTATTTTTAGTAGAGATGGGGTGTCATTATGTTAGCCAGGCTGTTCTCGAACTCCTGACCTCGTGATCCACCTGCCTTGGCCTCCCGAAGTGCTGGGATTATCGGCATGTGCCACCACACCTGGCTAGGAATTGTTATTTTTTTAATAGTGTTTAGTGCTGGGAATTTACTTGATTTGCTAACTTTCCATTTGAATGAATGAATCCGTATAGGTGTATTTCTTTTAAAATTTTATTATGGAAGTATTTAAATATTCATAAAAGTTGACAAAATGATATGCTTAACCCCAGTGTATTCGTTACCTCATTAAATAGACACCAACTCATGGGGAATGCTGTTTAAACTCCCACTCACTTCTGTGGCCTGTGTTATTTCAGTATTATTTCAAGCAAGTCGCAGACACCATAATTTTTTTCTATAATTATAGAATGCATATGTTTTTATATTTTACTTATTTTTATTTATTTAGGGATGGAGCCTCGCTCCATCACCCAGGCTGGAGTGCCGTGGTGCGATCTCGGCTTACTGCAACCTCCGCTTCCTGGGTTCAAGCAATTCTCTGCCTCAGGCTCCCGAATAGCTGGGATTACAGGTGCCTCCCTGAAATCTGCAGGTGACAGCCCGCCACGATGCCCAGCTAATTTTTTTTGTATTTTTAGTAAAGACGGGTTTTACCATCTTGGCCAGGCTAGTCTTGAACTCCTGACCTTGTGATCCACCTGCTTCAGTCTCCCAAAGTGCTGGGATTACAGGCATGAGCCACCATGCCCTGTTATGTTTTACTTATTTTAAAGTAGGGAATAGAGTCAAATCATAATTCAAGAATTACCTCATTCTGACCCTGATCTTTTAGCCACAGAATTCTCCTTCCCAAGGCTAATGTAATGTTATGAATGTGTTATGTATCTTTCCAAACATAGTCTGTGCATTTGTACATAAATAAATACATATACACATTTTCCCCACTTTTTTTTTTTACATAAAAGTATACTACTCATACTTCTGAATAATTTTTCACTTAGCAGTATTTCCTGTCATTCATCCTATGTTAAAACATAAAGAACTTCCTGAATACTTACTATTCTTTTTTTTTTTTTTTTTTTGAGACAGAGTCTCACTCTGTTGCCCAGGGTGGAGTGCAGTGGTGCGATCTCAGCTCACTGCAACCTCTGCCTCCTGGTTTCAAGTGATTCTCCTGTCTCAGCCTCCCAAGTGGGTGGGACTACAGGCACATGCCACCACCCCCAGCTAATTTTTGTGTTTTTAGTAGAGACAGGGTTTCACCATGTTGGCTAGGATGGTCTCCATCTCTTGACCTCATGATCTGCCTGCCTTGGCCTCCCAAAGTGCTGGGATTACAGGCGTGAGCCACAGCATCCAGCCCCTCTTCTTAGTGTTCTTTTTTATTTTTTTCTTTTGAGATGGAGTCTCTGTCTGTCGCTCAGTCAGGCTGGAGTAGAGTGGTGTGATCTTGGCTCACTGCAACCTCTGCCTCCTCGGTTCAACTGATTCTTTTGCCTTAGCCGGCTGAGTAGCTGGGACTGCAGGCACCTGCCACCACAGCTGACTAATTTTTATATTTTTAGTAGAGACGGGCTTTCATTCCTATTTGTCAGGCTGGTCTAGAACTCCTGACCTCATGATCTGCCTGCCTCGGCCTCCCAAAGTACCGGGATTATAGGCATGAGCCACTGTGCCTGGCCTTAGTATTCTTTATGTACAAACATGTTTAATTTATTCCTTATTGATGTATGTTTGGGTTGTTTCTATTATTTTTCTACTATGAACAGTGCTGCAAATAATAACATAGTACCTAGTGTCCACGTGAATAATAATGGTTGCTTTAGAACAATGTAATGACAATAGGTCATTGAGATTAAATAATATAGGTCAATGCCTTTATTCTACCCTACCCCAAGCCTTTGCTAAATTGATACTTGCTTAAAATATCTGAAAACTTCATTGCAAATGGTTTAGTCTAATGGTAGTTGGTAACTTATTCTTAACTCTTATTTGCTATCTCAACAAGTCATAGTCTCATAGTATAAAGAGTAGAGAGTATCTTCCATAGGTGTCATGAGAAGGAAAAAAAAAAGTAGAGTACACATGCCTCTCTACCTTGGGGATATGTGATGCTTAACAGAGTAACACTGACACTTTGGATTCTTTGGAGAAAAACCGCTTTGTAAATGAGATTGATGGGTTTTTCAGGGGCATATTTTGTTGTTTTCTGAACTTTAAGTAGTTCATAAGAAGATTTTTTTTTTTTATTCTTTTTTCCACAGAAAGAGGATTTTGTGTACTTGGTGATCTTTGTCAGTTTGATCATGGAAATGATCCCCTAGTTGTTGATGACGTTGCTCTGCCGAGTATGATTCCTTTCCCACCCCCTCCTCCTGGGCTTCCTCCTCCACCACCTCCTGGAATGTTAATGCCTCCAATGCCAGGTCCAGGCCCTGGCCCAGGCCCTGGCCCAGGCCCAGGCCCAGGCCCGGGCCCAGGTCCAGGTCCCAGCCATAGTATGAGACTTCCTGTTCCTCAAGGACATGGTCAGCCTCCACCATCCGTTGTGCTTCCTATACCAAGTAAGTATGTATCTGTTGAATTTTTCTTTAGTGGAGAATCCTATTTAGAAGAAACTCATCCCTTTTAGCTAACTCGATATTCGTTTAAAGTGTTTGAAAAATAGAGTAATAATAGAATTTGGAATATATTCCCATAATTAAGATGCTGTTCTTTTCTTTTTGCCATCCATTATTGCATGGTGTTATATGTATTACCACAGTGTAAATTTCGTGTGTAGCAGCCTAACCTATTTTGACCTGCAGTCAAATCTAGTTATCTTAGGTAAGCCAGTTTGTTTGTATTTATTTATTTATTTAGTTTTTCTTTAGAGATGGGGGTCTCATTATTTTGGCCAGGTTGGTCTTGAACTCCTGGCCTCAAGAAATCCTTTCCCGCCTTGGCCTCCCAAAGTGCTAGGATTACAGGCATGAGCCACCACACCTGGCCAAGAAAGCCAGTTTTTAAGGTGTTACAGAAAAAACATGTCAGGAGTTTTATGAAATTTTCCAGTGTTTTAAGAAAATCTCTTCAAGAATATTGAAATAATGTTAAACAATTTTTTTTTATTAAGGAGGTTTTCAGAGTAGAGTAATATGTGTGTTGCATGTACTGTCATCCAGCCTCAATGATTATCAATATTCAGCTGTTTTGTCTCATTTATTTTCCCCTCTTTCCCATGTACTTTTTTTGGGTTGTTTTTTTTTTTTCTTTTTTTTTTTTTGCTGGAGTATATTCTAAATGCCTTGTCACTTAACCAGTATGTACTTCAGTAGGGATCTCTTTTCTTAAGGACTTTTTGTTATTAAAAAAAAAAAAATCAATGTGCCATTATCACATCCACCAAAATGAAGAGTAAGAATGTTTTAAAATGGTCCTTTAAAAAGTGTTATTAACAGTTGCCAACATAGAAATAGAAGTAAGACTAAAGTTTTAAAAAGTAATTGAAAAAATTACGGAATTTTTTTCCATGTGGAATTATGAATTGTTTTCATGTATGCAAAGATATGTATTGACCGGACATGGGGGCTCACACCTGTAATCCCAGCACTTTGGGAAGCTGAGGCAGGTGGATCATGAGGTCAGCAGACCAGTCTGACCCACATGGTAAAACCCCGTCTCTACTAAAAATACAAAAATTAGCTGGGCATGGTGGCGTGCCCCTGTAATCCCAGCTACTCAGGAGGCTGAAGCAGGAGAATTGCTTGAACCTGTGAGGCGGAGGTTGCAGTGAGCCAAGATTGCTCCACTGCACTCCAGCTTGGGCAACAGAGTGAGACTCCTTTTCCAAAAAAAAAAAAAAAAATAGTATCTACTTGGAGACATTAAAAGATGGCAAATTAGGCTGGGCATGGTGGCTCTTGTTTGTAATCTCAGCACTTTGGGATCTGAGTTGAGTGTATTGCTTGAACTCTGGAGTTTGAGTTCAGCCTGGGCAAGATGGTGAAACCCCATCTCTACAAAACATAGAAAAATTAGCCAGGCATGGTGTGGTATGCCTGTAGTCCCAGCTACTTGAGATGCTGAGATTGGAGGATGGCTTGAGCCTGGGAGGCTAAGGTTGCAGTGAGCTGAGAGTGCACCACTCCACACTAGCCTAGGTGACAGAGCCAGACCCTGTCTCAAAAATAAATAAATAAATAAATAAATAAAAGTTGGCAAATTATTATTTCAAAAAATATTGCTATTCAGTTTAAGCAGTACTTTTTTTTTTTTTTTTAAAGAATCCTGGCGTTCATAATTTTCTTTCATCTAAGCAGTACTTTTAATGAATTTCTTTACTTTTTAACATTTTATCTTGCAATAATTACAGACACAATTATAGAATTATAATTAAGAAATTGCAAAAATGGTATAGCACGATTCTGAGCTTTCCTGCCATAAAGTATTCTATAGAATATACATTTCATGGCCAGGCACAATGGTGCACGCCTGTAATCTCAACATTTTGGGATCCTGATGCTGGTGGATCACTTGAGCTCATTGAGTTTGAGACCAGCCTGGACAACATGGCGAAAAACCCCACCTTTACAAAAAATACAAAAATTAGCCAGGCATGTTGGCGTGTGCCTGTAGTCCCAGCTGCTTGTAAGGCTGGGGTGGGAAGATTGCTTGAGCCCAGGAGGTTGAGGCTGCAGTGAGCTGTGATGGCCTGACTGCACTGCAGCCTGGGTGACAGAGCAAGACCTTGTCTCAAATAAAAATGAAGAATATTTTTATTATTAAAGTTGGTAAATGTTTGGAGGGATTTAATGTGTATGTTTTGCCTATAGAAATACATGCATACATACATACATATATATATATGTATGCATTTTAACTTAGCATTTGTGATTTTTTTCTTTTATTTTCTTTTTGAGACAAGATCTTACTCTGTCCCCTAGGCCAGAGTGCAGTGAGGAGATCTTGGCTTACGACTCACTGCAACCTCTACCTCCCAGGCTTAAAGGGATCCACCCACCTGAGCCTCCTGAGTAGCTGAGACTACTGACATGTGCCACCATGCCTGGCTAAAGGGTTTTGGACTTTTTTTGTAGCGACAGGGTTCGCTATGTGGCTCAGGCTAGTCTTGAACTCCTGGGCTCAAGCCGTTCGCCTGCCTCGCCTTCCCAAAGTTCTGGGATTATAGGCATGAGCCACTGTGCCCAGGCCATATGTGAATATTTTTAATATGATCACATAAACAGTATAATTGTGAAGCTGAAGCTGAGATTTTATTTCCCAGATAAAGCAACATCATTTTATATATAGAAACTCTAAAATAAAGAACATTATCTCAGTATGGAACATAATCTATTTAAAAGTTAAATTCAAGAATACTGTTTCTCTCGATGTTTTACTATGAAAAGTTTGAAGCAAACAGAAAAGTTGAAGGAATTGTACTTGTGTACTTACCATATCGGTTCTACACTTAACATTTTACTATATTTACATTAGCACATGTCTTTCCATTTCTCCATTTTTACTTTTGATGATTTTCACAGTATGTTGTAGACATGAGTACACTTAAACATGCTTATCATTAACTTGAATTCTGTAGAACTTAACCATCATCTTAGAAAATTTCTGGAAGCCTCTTCTTAGCCATTCTTCACCTTCACCCATAGAGGCAACCAGTGCTGCCTTTTTTCGCCCCAGATTAGTTTTGCCTGTTCTAGAACTAGGAATATTCTTTTAATGAATTATACAACTCACAGTGCTTAAGCTTGCCTATATCAAATTCCTTAATTCTGTTCAGAGCCAAATTAGGTATTTTAAATATGAGTATCCCAGTTAGTACTAGTATGATTTTTTTTTTCTTTTTTTTAAGATGAAGTCTTGCTCTGTTGCTCAGGTTGGAGTGCAGTGGTATGATCTTGGCTCACTACAGCCTCCACCTACCAGGTTCAAGTGATTCTTCTGCCTCAGTCTCCCAAGTTTCTAGGATTACAGGTGTGTGCCACCACACCCAGCTTATTTTTGTACTTTTAGTAGAGACAGGGTTTCACTATGTTGGTCAAGCTGGTCTCAAACTTTTGACCTCAAGGGGTCTGCCTGCCTTGGCCTCTCAAAGTGCTGGAATTACAGGCATGAGCCACCATGCCCGGCCTAGAATGGCACTTTTATTAGGCAATATTAATGCTGTACTTTTTACTTTTTGTTATCTGTAGGACCACCCATAACACAATCAAGCTTGATAAACAGCCGTGAGCAGCCTGGGACAAGTGCAGTGCCCAATCTTGCATCAGTGGGAACAAGACTACCTCCTCCTTTACCCCAGAACCTCCTTTACACAGTATCAGAACGTAAGTGCATGATGTTTGACTTAAAATTGACAGGGTATAGAAAAGCCAAGTTGTCTCATATCAGTATTACTCTTTAAAAAATTGTAAATAGTTTTTGTTCTTATGGATTCTAAAAGTTGTATTTGTATTCGCAATACAGTTTATTGTGTGTTTATGCTATATAGCCATATTTTAATTTCATGTGATATGGGAGAGAAAGGCAAGGCTTTCTGTTTTGGAGAATTTTACTTTGCCATACAATAGCAACATTTAGTCTCTCCTTTTTATTTTTTTGAGTTGAAGTCTCGCTCTGTCACCCAGGCTGGAGTGCAGTGGTACAATATTGGCTCACTGCAACCTCCATCTTCCAGTTTCAAGTGATTCTCCTGCCTCAGCCTCCTAAGTAACTGGGACTAGAGGTATTTGCCACCACGCCCAACTAATTTCTGTATTTTTGGTTGAGATGGGGTTTCACTCTGTTGGCCAGGCTGGTCTTGAACTCCTGACTCAGGTGATCTGCCTGCCTCGGCCTACCAAAGTGCTGGGATTACAGGTATGAACCACCATGCCCAGCCTAATATCAAGTCTCTTCTAAAGGAAATTTATTTTGAATCTTTTTAAAAAAATGGTTTATCTGATTAATTTTCTAAAACATAGGATTTATATCTTAAGAAGTATACAAAAGATTGGGCTAAATATGCCTAATAATTAACTTGTGTACTGAAATGAAGATAGCATCATTTAAATTGTAATGTTCTGTGTTTAGGCTGTTTGTGACATTCATGTTTGATTGTAATACATTTTTCTTGAACCCTAATTCTCTTTTATTTCTTAGTGTTATTGTTTACTAAAGCTTTAAAAAATTCCTCTCTTCAAAAACATTTTTTAAAAAGCTAGTTGTGTTAAAAATGTTAAATTAGAAGTGTTTTATTTTTACAAGGACAGGTAACTTTATGGGTATGTTCATGTTTTATGTAACTATATTTATCATAAATTTGGTTTTGCATCCTAAATATTTCTTCATCTCTTTTATGTCTTGGAGAGGCAATTCAGCAAACTGGTTAAGCCCAGTTTCAAATCCTGTTTTTTTTTTCTCCACCCCCCCCACTTAAATGACTCATATTTCTTTCTAATGAATTGACCACTACATTTCAGAAGTTATGAAATGGCCAACAGACCATAGAAAGATAATTCTTTAGACTCCTGATTGAAACCAACAGCTTCAGCAAACTGCTGGCCTTGATTCAGGGCCAATTTTTTATTTTTTTTAATTTTCAAATCCTGGTTTTATCATTTACTGTCTTTGTGACCTTGAGCAAGTTACTTAGCCTCTCTGTAGCTCAATTTACTCTTTAAAATGGGAATAATATTACCTCATTAAGGTTGTTTTGAGGAATAAATTAATACATCTAAAGCATCAAAAAAGTACCTAGCCACTAGTAAGCTATAAGGATTCTTTATTATATTATTGTAGCTATTACTGTCTCCTGAGAATTTCAAAGTCTCTGAAATCGAACCTATTAACTTCTTAAATCTATACCTTCCACCATCCCTGTTTTTCTCAATGGAATGACACCCACCTAATTATCTAGAATTGAAACTTTCACAGGACTGACTTACTGCTTTGCTTTTTTACATCTAGTTAATGAAAAATTCTCTCTTTTTCTTTGACGTATCCCTTTCTATTTTCTTATATGGCCTCTGCCTTTGTCCACACTAGATGACCTCACATTTAGATTATTACTGTAGTCTACTTGACACCATTATGTTTTATTTTTAACTTCCCTAAGCATACCACATAATGCTACTAAGCTAGTATTTCTGAGAAAACCAACCATGAAAGTTCCTTATAAGAACTTTCTAGTGGCTACCATTTCTTTCTGAACCATCAACAAACCCCTCTCTAGGACTTCTAACTCTTCTTTTTTTTTTTTTTTTTTTTGAGACAAAGTCTTGCTCTGTCACCCAGGCTGAAGTGCAATGGTACAATCTCAGCCCCCTGCAACCTCTGCCTAATGGGTTCAAGCAATTCTTGTGCCTCCGCCTCCCAAGTAGCTGGGATTACAGGCATGTGTCAATATGCCCAGCTAATCTTTTTGTATTTTTAGTAGAGACAGGGTTTTGTCATGTTGGCTAGGGTCTCAAACTCCTGACCTCAAGTGATCTGGCTTCCTTGGCCTTGCAACGTGCTGGGATTACAGATGTGAGCCACTACACCTAGTCTTTTTTTTTTTTGAGACGGTCTCACTCTGTTGCCCAGGCTGAAGTGCAGTGGTGTCATCTTTGCTCACTGCAGCCTCGACCTTCTGGGCTAAGTCATCCTTCCACCTCAGCCTTCCAAATAGCTGGGACCATAGGCATATGCCACCACACCTGGCTAATTAAAAAAAATTTTTTTTTGTAGAGGCCGAGCGTGGTGGCTCACACCTGTAATCCCAGCACTTTGGGAGGCCGAGGCAGGTGGATCACAAAAGTTAAGAAATGGAGGCCATCCTAGCTAACATGGTGAAACCCCATCTCTGCTAAAAATACATTAGCTGGATGTGGTGGCGCGCAACTGTAGTCTCAGCTTCTGGAGGCTGAGGCAGGAGAATCACCCACCCAGGAGGTGGAGGTTACACTGAGCCAAGATCGTGCCACTGCACTCTAGCTGGGGCAACAGAGTGAGACTCTGTCTCAAAAAAAAATTTTTTTTTTGTAGAGTTGGAGTCTCACTATGTTGCTCAGGCTGGTCTCGAATTTTTGGGCTCAAGTTTCTTCCACCTGAGTGTCCCAAAGGGTTGGTTGGGATTACAGGCGTGAGCCACTGTTCCTGGCCTTTAACAAGATCTACCTCTTCCTTCTTGGCATTCTTTGTCCACTATTCCTCAACACGCACCTTCTCTGATCATGCCAATTATACCCTTTCTGTCCCCTGGTCAGGACTCAACTCCCTCCCCCCATCTTCATTTCTGCCTATTTACTCTCTCTTCACCTCTTCCTAGGCCCAATTCTAAGTATTATACTTGGAAAACATCATTGTTCACTTCTATTTATTTATTTATTTATTGTTTATTTAAGACAGAGTCTTTGTTACTCAGGCTGGAGGGCAGTGGCGAGATCTCAGCGTACTGCATCCTCTGCATCCTGTGTCCAAGTGATTCTCATGCCTCAGCTGGGATTACAGGTGCCTGACACCACACCGGCTAATTTTTGTAGTTTTAATAGCGATGGGGTTTCACCATGTTGGCCAGGCTTGTCTTGAACTCCTGACCTCAGGTGATCTACCAGTCCTCGGCCTCTCGAGAGTGCTGGGATTACAGGCATGAACCCTTGTGCCTGGCCTATTGCTCTGTTTTAAACTCCTACAATACCAAAAAGCATTTATTATATAATGACATATATATAGGCTGTTTGATTTTTTAATTTTTTTTTTCTTTTTGAGACAGAGTCTCTCTCTGTCGCCAAGCTGGAGTGCAGCAGTGCCATCTCTGTTCACTGTAACTTCCGCCTCCCGCGTTCAAGCCATTCTCCTGCCTCAGCCTCCCAAGTAGCTGAGACTACAGGCGCATGCCACCACTCCCAGTTGATTTTTGTATTTTTAGTAGAGACAGGGTCTCACCGTGTTGGCTAGGATGATCTTGATCTCTTGACCTCGTGATCCACCTGCCTCGGCCTCCCAAAGTGCTGGGATTATAGGCATGAGCCACTGTACAGGTCTCTATTTTTTTTTTTTTAATATATGTAAATCTTATCTTCAACTGAGCTACAGAACAGAAATCACATCTGATACTCAAGTAATTGTTTTTCCTGTTTCATATTTAGTATCTTTCATATTTAGTATCTCTTGGTGTTCTGATTGCTATAGTGTCTTTTCATAGAACATGTTTGTTGCTCATTTTTTAATTATGGGAAATCTCAAATATATATATAAATAAAAAGGACAGTTTATTGAAGTCCCATGTACCAAGTATAATGAAGTCCTTTGTACCTGTCCCTTTAACAGTTTCAGTAGTTATCAATTTATAGCAAAGCCTCTTTTATCTATTTCCCCCCAAATAAGCTTTAGATATTGTTTGCCTTTTGGACTTGGAAATATGAAAAAGTGGACTATTTATTCCAGAGTCTGTCACAGATGGCATATTTTTATACTGTTAAATTTGGTATTATGACTCATGATAAAAATTCCATTTTGTTTTTAATTTAAAAAATCTGGCAATTACCATTTATTTTTATTATATTGTTAAATTTAACATTGTGACTCTGTGAATATTCCATTTGGTTTTAATTTCAAAAATCTGGCAGTTACCATTTATTTCAGTGACCTAGCTTAATAAATAAACTAATTTGGCAAATATTTATTGAGTGCCTACTATGTGCTGGGCATCGTGCCAGACACTGGGAAGCCAAGGTGAATAAGCTATTAGACCTCAGGTGTTTTGAAGTCCATTTTTCTGTTTTCTTTAAAAGTAATACTATTTTGTGATATAACAGTAAAACCTTTAGAACTGTGCTTCCAAACTTTTTTTTTTTTTTTTTTGAGACAGAGTCTTGCTCTGTTGCCCAGGCTGGAGTGCAGTGGCACAGCCTCCACCTCCCAGGTTTAAGGTCGTGCCTCAGCCTCCTGAGTGGCTGGGACTACAGTTGTAGGCCCCCACACCCAGCTAATTTTTGTATTTTTGGTACAGATGGGGTTCTGCCATATTGGCCAGGCTAGTCTCGAACTTTTGGCCTCAAGTGGTCTGCCCCCCTTGGCTTTCCAAAGCGCTGTGATTACAAGCGTGAGCCACCGCGCCTGGCCTCTAAATTCATTTTTTAGAGACTGGTAACATTTCTAAGAAAATTCTTGGGACCAATACAGTTAGCAGCTTCTTACTTGCCAGGTTAAGGTCTGTATATGAAAATATCTAATACTTTAATTTTAAAGATACATTTTAAAACTGAATAAAGGATATAATCTCAGAATAAAAGACAATCTTTTTAAAAATTCATTTAAAAGTTTTAAAATTTTTAGTAGACAGGTTCTTGCTGTATTGCCCAGC